AAAGAAATGATGGGCGTTGTTTTAAGAGTAAATTTATTTATTATGATTTTAAATATATAATTTTTAATTTTTGTAAATAGAAAATGTATTTGGATTATTTAAAAAATTGCAAATTTACATCACCAACAACACTTCCATTAATTAATTTTATGCAACGATCTTTAGTTGAACTTTATTCACTTGATCCAACAGTTACATATCAACATGGTTTTGTCTTTCTTCGACAACTTGCCGTTCATTTACGTACAGCTATTCAAACAAAAAAAGCAGTAAATAGAAAAATTTTATTTTATAAAAAAAATAATATCGATTTATAGGAAAATATTCAGGGTGTTTATAATTGGCAATTTATTCATGCATTAAGTTTATGGACAAATATTATCGGATTATTACACAATAATAAAGAAAAATTAATTCAACAACTTGTTCATCCACTTACAGAGCTTATTGTTGGTACTATTAGGTATGATTCAATAGCGGGTCTAGGATTTTGGAAGGGAGCGGCGATTTCTGAGTAGGCGAGGGGCGGTTTTGGCTAAAAACTATTTTTTCGTTCATTTTTGCTGTAAAAAATCAAAAAAAATTTCTGAAGTGGGGGGACCGCCCCTATCGCCCACCCCTAAATGCGCCACTGGTATGATTAGGATATTGAAAGATATTTTCGACTGATATAAAACTATAAATGAGATCTTAAATCTGTGTTTATCTCACATAAATAGATCGTTTCTTAATTGGTAGTATTTTACAAGAACTATATTTTTTGAATAGGTTAATACCAACAGCTCGTTATTATCCATTACGATTTCATTGTATTCGTCTTCTAATAAAATTGACTGAATTAACAACTGTATTTGTTCCTGTTTTGCCATTTTTACTTGAAATGTTTGATATAACTGATTTTAATAAACGTCATAAGACAGCAAGTCTTAAAGCGCAATATATTAATTTTGATACATCATTAAAATTAACAAAATTACAAATGGATGATCGAGCATATAAGGTTTGTTTATTAATAAATTTTTGTCGTGTATAAAAATTAATTTTGTTTAGGATGGTTTGATGGATCAATTTTATGAACTTGCTATGCTTTATCTTGTTCATTATGCTCATCATGTTACATTTCCTGAACTTGTTTATCCATTAATATTAAAATGTAAAAAATTTATTAAAATATGCAAAGTACAAAATTTTGTCAAAGTTATTCGTGGTTTATTAGAAAAAGTACAAGAAAATGTTAAATTAATTGAAGAACGACGACAAAAAACAGGTTTAAATGTTAAAGATGCCAAACAAATGGTAAAGAAAAAACGAAATTTTGTTATTAAAATAATTTTTTATTAAAATAAATAGAATGCTTGGCTCGAACAAAGTCAACAAAAATCAACATCTAGTCCACTTGTTGTGCATTTTGGACGATATAAATCAATGCGACAACGTGAAGTTTTAGAAGATATTGCTCAAAAAGAAAAAGTTAGTTATTGAATTCTAAAATCATAAATATTTATTTTTGTTTCTTTCATAGATTTCACAATCAGGTCGATCATCATTACCAGATTTAATTCGACCAGATCGGCAAGTAGCTGGTAAACAGAATTTCAAATCAATGATGGAAAAAGACTTGAGCGATAATGAAGAAGAACAAGAAGAACTTTTTCAAATTAAAACGAAAAGAAAACATGATGAAATTGAAGAGAATCAAGAAGAGGAAGAACAAGATGACGAAGAAGAGGATGAAATGGAACAAGAAGAAGAAGATGATACCGATGAAGATGATGATGATGATGAGGACGTATTACCAAGTCCACCAAAGAAAAAGTAAGCAATTATTTATTTAAAAAAATAATTCTAATGAATATTTTTAGACGTCATGCAAAAATGAGTAATGGTAAATCATCAACGTCGAATGCCGATGAATTTCTTTCTATTGTTAAAAAGAAATTTGATCGTCGAAAAGATCGTGTTAAAGATTTGTCAGTTGATGATTTCTAATAAAAAAATAAAAAAATATTTTTCAGAGAAAGTTCTCTGATTGTTAACTGTTTTTGTTAACTTGTTTCAGATAGTTCTATTAGAATGGTCGAAGATTCGAAAGAAGATAAGAAGAAGGAGTCAAAAACTCCTCTTCTATCTGCTAATCTTTCCTATCCAACTCGGCCATATGTTGCTCAAATGCCTGCATTAATACGACTAATTGGTCATTATACAGATTCTGGTCGATCAATGCCACACGCTGGTTCACCAGAAGCAGAAACAGCTTTTCGTAGTCATCAAGAAGATGAACAAGAACAACAACTTGTTTATAATCAAGATACTCAACCTATTGAAGTAATTAATCCATTTGTTCGTTGGCATCGACGTTGGTATCGAAGTAAAGGTGTTGATCCATCGCCAACTGTTGGTGTTTATTATACACCATTTAATATGGCTCTTGAACCTTGGGCTATGGGTATAGGTGATCATGGATGTGGTAAAATATTTAAACAATATAGAATGTGCACTCATATGGTATATCTTTAAGAATTTATTTCTAATAAAGAAAATATTCTAATATAGATGCCAAGTTCTCATCGATATCTATGTCAAGATGAAAAAGATGATGTTCGAGAATGTATGCTTGCTGAAAAACGAGTAAATAGATTTAATATTTAATTAAACTAAATAATAAAGTTAATGTTATTATAGATCTTACGTCATCAATTTATGTATCAACATCGGTAAATATTGTTATTTTGCAATTTATGAAATAAACTCTTCTTTTTTTCTTTTAGTGTTAAGAAAAATTTACCATTTCCTGAAGATCCATTGATTGATGGTTATAATTGGCCTTCATTCAAATATTTAAATTGAATCAGTATTCTTTCATCCCTTCCGCTTTCATCGATTGTCCTCAGTGTGTATCTAGTTTTTTTTCTTTCATTAAATAAACTAAAGAGATCCTTCACGTTTGATAGATATTCGTATGATGATGGATCTTATTTTATTTAGATAGAATAACTCTATCTTTAATATTTATATCAATATAGTTTTAATTTCAATGTTTATTCTTTCATATATCAGCAACAGATTATTTTCAGACAAGAAGATGAAAAATTGATTTTATTAAATTCATCAAATAAATTTATAATCAAGATGGATATAAATGAAAAAGAAGAATCTAGTCGGATTTCACTAGATCCGATATTGAAAATTAACGAAATAATGATGGTATCTAACAATAAGATTCGACAGAATGAGTTTGACCTGGAAAGGTATGCAGTTCTATGAAAATCGTAGATGATGTTGAGATAGGCTCTGCTCAGTCAAGATATAAATATCAAAGGAAAAAGTTGAATTAGTAGATCACTAAATGGAGAACTCCTTTAATAATTTTTTCCGCACGGTCATATTAGTAGATCCGAAGTCAAAAATTCATAACTTGCAAAATATTTCATCTATAATTTCAAGTCTTTCAGGTATAGCCAATAAAAAAGAGTGAATATAAAAATTTCTCTTCCTGCAATTGACTTATTCACATTGGTATAAACATTGTATTTTAGAGTTAGCAAAACAATTCTAATTATGTTTTAAATATCCTTCTTGTTGATTTTATTTAGTAACGAAAACAACGCGAGAGAAAGATAGAAAGAAAGCACGTAAAACTTGTTGCTAGTATTAGGCAAATTTTTGTTTACTCGTTGTCAACATTGGCTGTAAGTAATCCTAAACAAAAGCAATTAAACACATTGATAGAAATAACTGAAAAGTAAATACAAACCTTTGAATGATGGTACTCGGACAAATGTAACCAATGTATAAAGTTTATGTGGTGAATCTTCATCTTCATTACGTTGTCGAGCTAAACGGACTCGAACACGATATGGAACATGACTAAATAAATACATTGATTTATTCATAAAATAAATAAATGAACTAACTTAATTCCTTGTGACCAAATTTCCTTGTTTAATTTTGAATCAATACGAACATCAGGTGTTTTCATCATTTTTTCAGCGAATTTTTTTAATTCTTTAACTGCACGTGGTGCACGTTTTTTAAATGCTCTATTTGAAAAACCGAAATTAAAGTATTTATATAATAATTTTATTTTAACTTACACGCCATGTAATCGTTTATGTAAATTGACACTATATTCACGAGTGACAACTTCATTAGTAATTTGTTTTTTACTGCTGCCACTTTCACCTTTCTTTGTTTTAGCGTTTACCATGATTGATTAGATATTTAATCTAAAAGAAAAAACATAAATATTTCTAAACTATTCATCAAAATAAGCACAATAGATGAGAAAGTGAGATGAAACAAGTAAAGATTCTTGTGATAGGCCAATTATATGGTCAAATCCTTATTGAAAAAAAAGAAAACGTTTCGATGTCCCTCAATCGTATCTGAATGGCTGGTTATGACATCTTCCGGAAAAGATTTACATATCTATATATAAAAACTGATTAATACATTTTGTTTTATCTTCCATACTCTTAGAATTCATCAGTTATTTATGACAAAATGAATTCAGAATAGATTGATATCTTTATTTTGTTTATTAATAGTAAACAAATCAAAATATCATATAAAAACATTTAATCTTGTTCATTAAAATTTAATAATAATAAATTTATTTTTGTATTTGTTGTTTTATTCATGAATATTTGAATTATGAAAAAATAGATAATAAATGATAAACAAATCATGAAATATTGTTGATCAATTTGTTTAAATAAGAATATCCAAAGCAAAATTAATATTAATAATAAACTAATCAATAGAAGTAATTTTTTAAAATATTCTGCTTTAGAATATGTTAATAACTCATTTGGAATCTTTGCAAATATTCTCCATTTTTCCCAAGTTAATTCTTGACATAAAGAAAGTTCACTTTTCATTTCGAATGATAATGACTCAGTTCTTGATAGCCATTCAGTTGTTAATTGATCAACCTTAATAGTATGAATAGACAATAAAGAAATATCTTATTTATATATTTAACTTACTTTATTAAATGAATTAATTGTGTATTGATTTCTTTCTTTTTGTGAAAGATTTTCTAATGAAAGTTGTTTGGATTTGCTAACAAAATTATTTTCTAATAAATCTCTTTCAATTTCAATTTGTTTAATAAGTTTCTGATAATATTTCATAACGTTTCTTGTTATTATTTCTGATTTCCACCAAATATTATTAGAAGAATAAGTAAATGATGCATTCGAAATATTCTTATTCTTATCTAATGATGAAATAAATGTTGGTGGTTTTATTGTTGAATCTAACCATATTGGTTTAAATATCGATAAACAAGGTAACGATGTACATGTTGCATAATGTGTTGGAATTTGATTTTTTACAGTAGGAATAACTGAAACTAAAGATCCAGTTGTTTGATTAAATCGAATAGGTCCAAAAGATGCATGCATACATATATTAATATCTGTTAAACCATCTGATAGTTTACTTTTTGAATATTGATGATCACGTAAAATATTAAACATATCAATAACATTAAACTGAGATTTTTTGTTTATTAATTCTTTTGAACGTATTTGTCGATTATGACCACATGATAAATTAGTTTTAAGAAAACCATTATAAAATTCTTGTGGATAAAATGATAATCCGGAATAACATTTTTGAAAATGAAAATCTTCTTTTGAATGACACCAACCTTTTGAAATAGCTTGTTGAATTAAATTCTCCGAATATTCATCAAATGTATCAAGATTTCCAAATGAAATTATATTTGAAATTGTATGAATACCTTTTGTTATTCTTTTTGCTGCATATTCTTTTCCAACAGTTTCAATAATCCATCCCTCATGTGAATCAACTAATAGAAAACTTGAATGATAATAAAATTTTGATGTAAAACCACAATTTCCTCCTTGACCATATTTATTTATTAGTGATATTATTTCATTTTTTCCTTCTCGACTTGTTGAACATCTTTCAAGTACTAATCGAACTAAATCCATTCCAGTTAAACCGTCATTATACGAAGGAATTTTTGTAAACAAAGCTTCATTTCCAACAACTAATCCATGACAATTAAAACCCATCTCAGCACCAAATATATTTGTTGGTGAAAATAAAATACATGAATAAGTTTTTTCAACTTGATGTATTTCAATATGTGTCGCTTTAACCTTAGAATTTAGAGAATTAATTGATGATGGTATATAACGTGTTGATAATGGTTCATTTGTTTGACGATCACTATTTTTACCAAATATTATTGAACCATCATCAGTAATATCACTCATTACTACCATTGTATCACATGAACATGAAAACATTTTTTTGTCTTCTAAATATATTTAATAAAAATATTTACTTTCTTAAGAAATAAATTTTATTTTTATTGAAATATCCTTTGAGTATGCTAAATAATACATATTTAGTGTACCCTTTGGCATATATTGATCGAATTGAGAAAAGCAAGTCAAAGTGAGGGTGAGAACATCAAAGAATGTGAGCACCGTGATATCGCGGATTTGAAGGAGTACAGAAAAATATTTGATAATAAGAGGCATAGAATTTATTTCTTATCGATCCAAGCATTTTCATTGTCGATAGAAGTCGCAATACACCGATTATATCAATATTTGCATCATCCAATATCAGAGTTCTATAGTAAGAGTGTCACTTTATTTTTATTTTTCTTTATAGTAAAGAATAAAGTAACGAAAATCTTTATCTTTATTTATAAAGTAAAGATAAAGTAACACCCATATTCCTTACATGTCTAATATATTGTTTTGAAAGTATAACTTCGGCTCTTTTTTTCTACTCAACTTTTTTTTAACAGGTTGGTCGAATGTGGAAAGAATTGTAGCATTGATTAACATCGAAAGTCCAGTCATAAACCATAGTTTGTGACTAAAAATATTTCTAGGATGTTACAAAATATATTTTTAAATCAAATTTTATAGTTCTATGATATATATAAGTGCAAATATTCATCGATTTTGACAATGCATTTTATTCTTCAATTCGTCATTATACGAACGATATACACTTTTCAAGCAAATATTTTATAAATTACAACAAAATCTATCGAATCGAGATATTCAATTATTAAAACAGATTCATCTAGATTAGTGCATGATTTCAATAATTTTGTCATATTCAGATAGAAATTGATTCTGTCCATGTGTACACGAAAATAGCAGAGACACATGACCTGTTCGTTAATCATAGAATACAAAGGATAAAGAAAAATAAATAATATGTACTATTTTCTCGTTCTGTTCATCTCTGTATTTTTTTTTCTTTTCTTCTCGACATTCGATCAATAGACCTAACAATAATAAATATGAAACTATCATAGATAATGTATATGTGCCTTTATAAAATGTATAATTACCTGTACTGTTGAATATCATATTTTTGTACTTGTAGAGCAAAACAAACCAAATAAAAATGACTATTGATGTAAACGATGAAAAAACAAATAAGTATTTAACATTTTATGTTAATCGAAAAAAAATTATTGAAAAAAATGCTGAACCACATTGGACGTTAGTTTATTATTTGAGAACGAGTAAGCATTTTTTTTATTTGGATAAAAAAAGTGACTTCATAATTACTCTTTGAACTGTTATTTATTATTTTAGAATTAAATTTAACTGGTACAAAAATTGCCTGTGGAACTGGTGGTTGTGGTATGTATCTTAAAATCGTTGATCTTATTTGAATATTAAAAATAATATTACTTTCTATCTTTATATATAGGTTCATGTACAATTGTTGTCTCGAAATATAATTCTATAACCAAATCGATTACTCATTTTAGTGTTAATTCATGTTTAACACTCTTATGTACATTGGATGGTTGTCATATATTAACTATTGAAGGTCTTGGTTGTACACACAAATCAAATGGAAATTTACATCCAATACAACGAACAATTGCTGAAAATTATGCTTCACAATGTAAGATTTCTTTTATTTATAAAGTTTAAATCAAGTTCTGAACTAAATAATTTTTATAATATTTTAGGTGGTTTTTGTACGCCTGGTATGTGTATGTCACTTTATGATACATTGGTCAATTGTTCTCCTCAAAAACAACCAACATTACAAGATATCGAAGATACATTTAATGGAAATCTTTGTCGATGTACAGGTTATCGACCAATTTTAGATGGTGCAAAAAAATCATTTGCTGAAAAAGAAGTTCTTGAAGAATATGCAGTAGATTTTCCTGTCGAATTAAAAGAAGAATATGTACCAAAAGCAATTCATATCAAAGGTAAAGATTTTAGTAACATAATTCTCAATACATTGACTTACAAAACTATAGGCACAGACATCGAATTTTATCAACCACTTACACTTGATCATCTTTTCGATCTTCGAAAACAATATTCTAACCCTGATCAGTTTCATTTTATTGCTGGTAATACTGGAGAAAATTTCGATAATATTGTTCATCAACATTCTTATTCAATTCTTATTCATCTTAATCAAATCCCTGAATTACAAGAAATAGTTGAAAAATCCGAAGGTCTTCAAATTGGTTCATGTGTTACACTATCACGATTAAAATCTAACATACAACAAAATCAACAATCCCAACAAGTTTACAAAATTCTTTCTGAACAACTTGAATTTAATGCTTGTCGACAAATACAAAATCAAGCAACTATTGGAGGACACGTATTGAATCATAGTCGTAAACATACATCTGATCTCTTGCCAATACTTTATGTGTGTGAAACAAAATTACGATTTATTCACTTAGCCAATAAAAATGAAATTGAAATTGAAATTAAAAATCTCGATAAAACTGATAAAACTGACCTTTTGCTTGTATCGGTATTTATTCCATTTGTGAAAACTGATGAACATTTACAATCTTATAAACAAGCTCATCGACGTAAACATGATACAGGAATCGTGACTGGTGCATTTCGATTAAAATTAGATGCAAATGGCAAATTAATCAAGTTATTTAATATGGCCTTTGGTGGTTTTCATGATGGTGTAATTCTAGTACCAGAGAACACGATGAATTATGTGAATAGTGGTAAATTAGAATGGACACAAAATAATATTATGGACAATGTAAAGAATGAATTGTTGAAGGAAGTACAACTGGATCAATTCTCTCAGAATGGACAACATGAATATCGGTGAGTATTAACTACGAATAGATACACAAGAATAATGAATATCAACTAAGAAGATTAAATTTAATTCAAATTTTGTTTTCTATTTTAGTCGTACTCTCATGATTTCATTTCTATTCAAATTCTACTTACATGTAACAAATAACGCAGAACAACTTTTTTCAAAAAACCGTCCCATTTCCCATGGTGAACAAATATTTGATGCATCAAACCAAACTAAATATGTTCATCAACCATTGATTCATCATAATGCTTATATTCATACGACTGGTGAAGCAAAATATGTTGATGATCTACCGTCACAACAGAATACATTGCACGGTGCATTAGTACTCAGTAGTAAAGCTCATGCAAATATCTTATCAATTAATACAGAAAAAGCTGAATTAATTCCAGGTTTTGTTAAATTTTATTCACATCATAATATACCACCAACAGGAACGAATAAACATGGTCTAGTAATAAAAGATGAAGAAATATTTCCTTCAAAAGTTGTTCATTGTATGGATATGATAATTGGTTTATGTGTAGCTGATACTGAAGAACATGCAAGACAAGCTGCTGAATTAGTAAAAATTGAATATGAAGAATTGAGTCCATTAATTCTGTCAATTGATGAAGCAATAGAACATGAAAGTTATTTAGGTCCACCTGGTAAACAAGAAAAATTATTACAAATTGGAGATATAGATGAAGGATTTAAAAAATCAGATCATATCTTAGAAGGAACATTTTATATTGGTGCACAGGAACATTTTTATATGGAACCAAATGCTTATCTTGTACAGCCTGTTAGTGAAGGACATTATACACAATTACATGTTTATTCAACAACACAAGCAATGACTCAATTACAAACAGCAATTGCAGAAGTTTTAGGTAATTTATTTAATGAATTGAAGGGAAGACATATAAATATCGTCAAAATTAAATTTTTCATTAACAGGTCTTAATGCAAATGAAGTTACTTGTCATGTTACACGTGTTGGTGGTGGTTTTGGTGGTAAAGAATCACGAAATATGATTCCATGTATCGCAATTGCTTTAGCTGCTTATGAGCTACAACTTCCCGTACGTTTACGTCTTACACGTGAAGAAGATATGAAAATAACTGGTCATCGTCATCCATTTAAAACTCTTTATAAAGTTGGTTTTCTTAAAAATGGAAAATTGAAATCTCTTGATATACATCTTTTTGGTAATGGTGGCTGTTCAGCAGATTCAAGTCTTTTTATGCTTGAACGTACAATGACACATTGTGATAATATTTATAAATGTGAAAATATGCGAGTACGAGGACGAGCGTGTCGAACGAATCTACCGAGTAATACTGCAATGAGAGGATTTGGTGCACCAGAAGGTCTATTAGCAGCTGACATTATACTCGATCAAATTAGTACTTATTTACAACCAAATGGAGATTCATCAATTATACGTGAATTAAATATTTATAAACCCGGAGAGAAAACATATTTTAATCAAACAATTGAAAAGAAAGATTGGCATGTACCAGAAATGTGGACAAAATTAAAAAAAACAGCTGAATATGAAAAACGCTTGAAAGATGTTGAAGAATTCAATAAAAATAATGAATTTCGAAAACGAGGATTAAATATGACTGGAACAAAATTTGGTATTGGAGTTACATCAGCTTTATTTTTTCATCAAGCTGGAGCATTAGTAAATATTTATAAGGATGGAAGTGTGTTAATTACACATGGAGGTAACTCTAAAGTTTTGAAAAAAATATCGTTTAAATTGAAATTTTCTTTATTCGTGTATTTTAGGAGTTGAAATAGGTCAAGGTCTTCAAGTGAAAATGATGCAAATTACAGCTGAACAACTTGATATTGATATGTCACTTGTTCGTTTATTTGAAACTGCAACTGATAAAATACCAAATACAACAGCAACAGTTGGATCATTATCAGCAGATATCTACGGTCCAGCATTGATTAATGCTTGTCAACAAATAAATAAAAATCTTGCACCATTAAAACGTAAACATCCAACTTTAACATGGCCAAAACTATGTGAACAAGCATATAATGATCGTATACAATTATTTGCCAGTGGTTTTTATAGTGTACCGGACAAGTTTATAAAGAATAATTTCGAAAATAGTGAAGTTAATTTTATGTATTTTACACAAGGAGTTGGAATGAGTGAAGTTGAAATTGATTGTTTAACTGGAGATTTTCATATTTTAAGAACAGATATTTTAATGGACTTTGGAAAATCGTTGAATCCATCCATTGATATTGGACAAATTGAAGGTAAGAAAACAGTTTATTGCAATTTATAACAACTTTTCAGTATATATCTTTCTTCTCTTCTTATAGGTGCATTCATGCAAGGTGTTGGTTATCTTACTATGGAAGAACTTATACAAGGTGATTCTCAACATCCATGGATTTCTCAACAAGGTTCTCTTCATAATGCTGATCCAAATAAATATAAAATTCCAATGGCAAATGATGTACCAATTGATTTTCGTATTACACTTTTAAGTGAACATGAATCAAGTGAACATGCTGTTGTTTATTCATCGAAAGCTGTTGGTGAACCACCTCTATTTCTATCGGCAACTGTATATTTTGCTATAAAACATGCTATTTCAGCGTATCGTCCAGGAAAAGAATCATTTACATTAAATATACCAGCAACATGTGAACGAATTCGAATGGCATGTAAAGATCAAATAATTGATTCCGTAATTCCAGATTGCAAAGACAAAGAATTTCAACCGTTAGGTAGTTTCTAATAATTTTTCAAAATTCATAAACAAGCAAGTTCTTTCTTTGGTGATACATAATTTATTTTAATCTAGCTTTGTACAATTCTAAATCTATGTTCTTAATTCTTACGAAGAATAATTTCGAATTATAAAATTTTTTTTTGAATAAAAACTATATAATTATGATATCCAAATCAAATTTAAATTTTTGATAGATTATATAAGTTAAGAGTAGACGAAAAAATCTATAGATTTACTCATATTGATAGACATTGTCTATGACATAATATCGATACATCATTTTTTATTACATAAAAATTATCTTATTTGTTGATGAAATGTTTCTTTCTGACGTCAATAAATATGATAATAATCTCACGAATTACTACTATGATAACACTGTAAAGAAGATTATACCATGCATAACAATAACAACTTTCAATTAAAACTATTTGTTGCTATAAGAGTTAATCTCAAAAGAAACAAAAAAGCTTTTCGTTTCTAGTTGTTATACATAATCTAGTTGTATGGAAATTATTTTCTCATTCAAATACAGATTTGTCGCACATGTTTTTCCGATAATATGTACACGAGTTTTTTGTATTTATATTATTTCTCGTTAAAAAAAGCGTAAGTAATTTTTTTTTTTACTTAATAATACTAATTAGTTATAAACTTTTTCAACGACTGACTTGTATATCTATAAAATTAGTTAAATAATAGTAGTAGTAATCCAAAGGAATAGCTTTATTATTAAATAAAATACCATCTAATTTCTCCACATGAAAAATAAGTACATCATAAACAACAATATAAATTATTTTTATATGTTGATGCTCTTTTAAATCTTATTATAATGACTTAATCTATAGATACATTAAAACTTTGTTATGTTGTTTGACTTGATTCTACATTGAAAGTATCGAATTTTATCATATTTTATTATGTATGCGACAACAAAGTTGTTGTCACAATCAAAGAGAGAATATATATGTAGATTTTTATATTCTTTCTATAATAAATATATTTCTATAGATAATCTGATCTGGATAAGAAATTGTTAGTAATATTTTACATGTTCTAGTATGATCTTAGGCTCATATAGATATTTTATATTCTTCTCTTTTGTATTTTTAGTATTATATTTCAACTGTGTTTTTTTTATTCATATCTATTCCTCTATAATCATTGTTTCTACCATACATACTAAAGTCGTTTTTTAATAACTTAACACATTCTTTATAAAAGAATATTATATTATCTAATATGTAATTAATTTGATGTCTATGAATATCACGAAATAATGATTATAGAGTAGTAATATTTTTCAATTTTGTTAAACTAATGAATTTGTGTAGGAGAAGAAAAATCTTAAATGAACTAGAATAATTCAAGAAGTTGAAATCTACTATTTTTAATAAAAGATTCTTCTATTATATCATATATGCAATATCAATATAAGCTTACTATGATATGTTAATTTTTATAATTATTTTTCGGTCAATTGAGTATAAAGAATTTTGATTTTTTCTTCTTCTATTAAACTGAATCTTATAATCGATAGTATAACGTTTAAAAATGTTCAATGCAATTATCATATTTATTATATTGAAGAGACGACGATATATATCATTTAATTCTTTTGTTTGCTTATATTGATTGATTACTAGAAGGATTGATGTATAGTATCCTATCGATTAGAAAACGATATTTGATACAATGTATACTATTATAAGTATCATTTAAATATCTTTTCATATCTATGACCAAATGAGTGATGAAAACATATTTTATTTTAGACAAATTCTTTTTATCTCTGATCTTTAGTTTTCTACATATAGATGATGATGAGTCAGTTGCATGACAAATGAAACAGAAAGATAAAAAGTTGGTTTTCTCCATAGTAATTATCATGTTTTGTATTAAAATTATGTTTCGTGTTTGTACAAAATACTAAATTAATCATAAACACAATATCTGGTTGAAATTTGCTTTTCTTTTCATACATTATTTACAAGATCACATCTCATACCCTCAATTTCAATATCCAGATTTTCTTTCTCTTTATTGATATCAATCCCCTTCTCTCTTACTGTATACACGTATATAAAAGTATACAAAGGTCACCCACGCCGACGCCGAACAACAAGTCTTTGCTGCTTCTTCTTCTTTTTGTTCTTGTTCTTCTCGTTCTTTCGTAGAACGAACGAGAGAAAGAAAACGTTGAACACTATCAAAAGCGCGCAATTGTCGTCATTCATTCCTCGTCTATTTTTCCTTCTCTTTCTCCCTTGCTTAACATCTACTCCGTTTTTTCTCTCTCTCTCCAGTCAGTCGTTAGTCATATGTTCGGCATCGTTAGTCGAGTGTAGTAGCCACAACTACAAACACATCGTCGTCATCCTCATATATACATTTATTTAGCAATCAAACTAAAGAAACAGACCAACTGTGGAAATTGATTCGACACCATGAGTAGTAAGTCTTTTTTTTTTTGGATGACATTTTTTTTCCTTTACTCAGCTGGTGCCATCCTTCCTTGACTAATCGATGTATCATTTTGTATTTTCTTTTTCTTTCTTCTTTTATTTTTATAATATAATAAGAAAATTTTTTTCATTGAATGAATACGTATATTAGATTAACAAATCGGTTCATTCTATTTTTAGGTTTATTGACATTTTTGTAAATACGAAATACAATAATGTCTGTAGAAATGGATCAATTATTTGGTTTAATTCAAGTTTCTTCATCAATTAAGATAAAACGATCAGACGGACGAGTACATTTAGCTAAAGTAGTACAACTCTCCGCGGAATCAAAATCTGTTGGTGTTGAATGGAATGAACATGGAGAAGTGAAAGGAAAAGAAATTTTACTTGATCTTGTATTTGAACTTAATAATGAATTAAGACCAACTACATCGTCATCAAAACAATCATCAATAGTTGTCAATCAACAAATTCGTCCAACAGCTGCTATTCCTGCTCCATCCACTGGTCTATCATCAAGTCGATTAACTTTAGATATTGATTCATTAGAACGAGAATATAATTCTCGACCACCACCAACACTTCCACCGCAATTATTACAAAGAATTCAACAAAATCCTGTATCTATTCAAACAACTTCAACACCGCTTCCACCGCCACCATTAAATGGGTAAATTTCTTTTTTTTGTTTCAATGAAATTATTCTATTATTTAAAATTTAGTACAATCTCAGCTACAACACAACCAAAAACAAGTTATGCACCATCCGGAACAAATAATACTGTTGCTGTTGTTCAATAACGGGTGTTGGCGGTGGAGCGGGAGATGAAGAAGATGTACCAGTTTTTGTTATAGAAGAATTTGTTTGAGCAGCAGGACGACGTATTGAACGAACAGCCACAATTACAAATTCCACTTCCAGTAAATAATAAAGGTGACCGTCGTCTTTCTCGTCTTCATATTGTACAACAATCAACAACAACCACAACAATGCAAAGTACAACTATATCAAGTGTACCTGATCCACCACCATCCATTGGTTTACATGGTCCATTTGGACAAATGATTCTTGATTATCGTTCAACAATTAATTATATTCCAATAACAGTTTCTAATATGAAAGAATATCAATTTAATCAAAAAGATTTACGTATATGTGTAGCTGTTCGAAAACGTCCATTGAATAAACGTGAAATAGCTAAAAAAGATAATGATGTTATAACAATTCCTAATAAAGATCATTGTCTTGTTCATGTACCAAAATCTAAAGTTGATTTAACGAAATTTCTTGATAATCAAACATTTAAGTATGAATAATACATAGACGTAAAAGAAGAAAAAATAAACCTTATATTCTATTTAGATTTGATTATACATTCGATGAACGATCTACAAATGATCTTGTCTATCGTTATACTGCAGCACCATTGATTGATACAATTTTTAATGGAGGAAATGCAACTGTTTTTGCTTATGGTCAAACAGGATCTGGTAAAACATTTACAATGGGTGGTGATTTATCATCTGCAAAAGCTGATTATACACATGGAATTTATGCTCAAACAGCACGTGATATATTTCAACGTCTAGCATTACCACAATATCGTTCATCTGTAGAAATATTTGTTACATTTTATGA